GCGCGAGGAGAACGAGGCATCAACCATCAAAGAAATTGTTGTGAAAGTTTCTCACAAAGTTGGGGTGTGTTGCGCATCAGTGTTTAATGTGTTAAGACAATACAAAAAAAATCACACCTTTTCTGAGCCAATGACCAGTAAACATCGCAAAAGTATTGTTAAATCATTGGATGAAGCTGATAAGCATGCGATTAGGAGGAAAGTGCATGAATTCTTCTTTAGGAATGAAATACCTACTATAGATAAAGTACTGCAGGAGGTAAATGGAGATACAACGTTGCCAAATTTCAAACGATCAACTTTCCATGCGTTACTGAAGCATTTAAATTTCAAATGGAAAAAACGGGGTCGTAATAGTTTACTACTGGATAGAGAAGAAATTGTGCTATGGAGGAGGGATTATTTAACAAAAATTGGGAAATATAGAAATCAAAACAGGAAGATTTATTACCTTGATGAAACGTGGGTAAACGCAGGACACACTACAAGTAAAGTATGGGTTGATGATTCTGTAACTTCATCCAGGAGGGCCTTTCTAGATGGACTGTCCACCGGATTAAAAAATCCAGCAGGTAAATACGAGTAATAGACAACAATCGGATGTTTTTCAAACCTTGGGAACAAGGTTCTAAACATTAATTCCAGGGGGCAGATAAAACATATTACAAGTAACAAAACTTTTATAACTTTCGATAAAATGCGTGGATGTTTTATTGTCATTTTCATTTGTTAGAACTTTTTTAAGCCATGTTTTTATGTGTTTTCGATATTTCAATAATTTTTTAATATAATCTTAAAATATGTCGAATATTATAAACTTAAAAAAAGTTACTAAGTTTTATATTGTGTACCGTTCCTAATATTTCTAATCATTTTAATTCATACTTTAAGCTTTATAACGTTATAATTTGTTAATATTAATATTTGCGCGTATTTCAGGTTCCTGATCATTCATTTTTTAAAGGTTTATAACTTTAAATTAAATTGTGAAGCGCTGAGTAATCATACGACGTTCAATATTCTTTCTTTCAATTTGACTAAATAATCCCAATTATAGCAATCTGATACTCATGTCTCAATGTTTTTTCGCTGAATGTGATGAAAACATTTGAAAAAGGTTCGCTTATTGAAATAAATCTACACCAGTTAGTACTTCGATTTCCAGGTAAAGGGAAAAGGCTCATTATCTGCCATATTGGCAGTGAGGATGGATTTGTTGTTGACGGTCTGTGGTGCTTTGAGTCTAAGAAAACTGGAGATTACCACGAGGAAATGAATGGCGAATCGTTTGAACAGTGGTTTTCAAAAATTTTACCGAACTTAGAGGAAAACGCAGTAATTGTGTTGGATAATGCGCCTTATCATTCTCGAAGAATGGAGAAGGTCCCAACAACGGTTTCAAGGAAAGTTGATGTTCAAAATTGGCTCCGCTCGAAAAATATCAACTTTGAAGAAGCAATGCTGAAAGTACAATTATTAAGAATTGTCAAGGATCACAAGGCGGAATATCAAAAATACGCCATTGACGAAATGGCAGCAAGTCAAAATAAAACTGTGCTCCGTTTACCTCCATACCATTGCGAGCTCAATCCCATTGAGCTCATATGGGCAGAGGTTAAAAATTATATAGCTAAGCACAATACAACTTTTAAATTTTGTGACCTCAAAGGACTTTTCAAAGAAGCACTAGAATTAATAACAGCGCAAAAATGGGAAAACTGTATTAAGCACGTGAAAGACAAAGTTGAAAAGAGAATGTGGGAACTGGACAATATTTTAGAGGAACAAGTCGAGCCATTCATTATTGACGTTGGTGCTTTAGGCAGTAGCGATGATGAAAGCTCTTCAAGCTCATCTTTCCAATAAAAGATGTCGTTCATCAAATTCGGTAAGTTATAAGTAATTATAAAGCTACTGTATTTTTTAATTAATTATTGACATTTTTGAACCCATTTTCGCAAAACCTATTCAAGAATCTACTTTCTGACAATGTTCAACCATGCACATTTTTTTACGTTTGGAACGTTTTAATTTGGTTACATATTTACCTAGAAATCAAAAAATATACTAATCAATATTCTAAAAGCAATTTTAAGAGATATACGAATATTTTTAATTTAGGCTAATTTAAGCGCCATTTTGAGATTATATTCGACTGTATTTCACCAAACATGAGGCGGCATCCGAAGCTGGAAATCGATGCGAAAATTTTGAAACCCTTATGTATATTTACATCATTATATATTTCTTACCCCACCCCCACATGATCCTATATCCATCACCAATCGTATACACATCGAATTGTGCTAATTTACTACAAAGTTACGCAAAGCAGCATCTACTATCTAAAATATGTAATGCGTGACTCTTAATACGTCCCTGCCGAATGTTACAGCGTTCGATGATCACGTGGTCTTGTTTATGTCCGGTCTATCTCTTATCTGAATATACTTTACGTCTAGTTGACCTTGTCAATCGATACGTTCAATACCAACTGAGCAAAGATTGATAAATTATTTACTGTGGGTCTCTTAGTAAGAAACTCATGCTGAAAATGAGACATAGATCTATGAACTGCGGTGTAAATTCTATTATGCAATATGATCTTCAGCAATTTGGAGAATTTTGATAATATTGCCCCCGCTTTGTAGTTCTTCATCAGTGTTATGCAATGATTTAAAAACAGGGGTCGCTCCAAATATCAGGAAATGTATTGTTGCTATAGTAACGAGGGGATGTTATCTGGACCGGCCTTGCTTTATTCTTGAGCAATAACTTTGCCATCAGTAAGATCATTACGAATAGTTTGATACAAAAAAACATTATTAAAAAAATCTGTAAATTCACTGACAGTTCTCTAAGGATTGTTCAGTGAGACGTCATTCTACTTCTGTTTATCAGGACTCCTAGTAGTCAGATTTCTTGTGTACATGAAACTCCAAAAATGTTTATGATCTTGAGTGATCGAATTCTTAACATTATGTATATAATTTTTACAGGTCACATGTTTACCTCAAATCTAAGACTTTCGTACTGTTCAAGTATAGTTATTGGGACTCTTTTTGTACTTCCAATATAACTTGCTTGACGTCCCTAACAATTTCACTGATGAACCACGAAAGGTACTTATAACTAAAAGATTTGTATTTGGGTATGTCAATATCAAAGAACAAGTTTATGATTACATTAACATATACGAACATGTTGGCGGGATCTAGGTAGGAGCATTTTGTTTGTTTTTTGTTTAAGACTCATTTAGCATGATTGCTACAATTACAGTCTTCTAAAAAACTAAGCAATTACATAACATGCAGATATTTAGGAAAAAACAAAATTTGCATCTCTAAGAATGTTCACTGTATACGAAATATTCCTTCAATTTTCTTTTAAACATATTTAAATTACTAGTAGACTTTATATCATTACTCAGTTTATTAAATTCAAGTAATATTGTCTGAAATACTGATTTTGACATTGATTACTATTGCAATTTTGTAAATGAATATCTATATTTCCTCTTGTATAATAATTGTGGTAATGATTATTCAATTCTATGTAGTGTTCTGAGTGTTGTGGAAAAAAATGATTTTTTACTTTAAATATAAAATTAAGAACCAAATATAATATGGAATTTTTTATATTCAACCACTGCAATTCTTGTAACATAGATTTTATTTTGGTGTACTTATTTTTATTCAATATTATTATCATAGCTTTATTTTGCAGGACTTGTAAAATTTGAGAATACATCTTCATTGGTAATGAACAAGATAGTTGAAAAATATAGTAAATGCGGTAGAATAATTGTATTATAAACTATTTTCTTGGAATATATACCAAGACTATGAGAAGCTCTATAAGAGTAATTTGTTTTTCTGGCAATTTTTGAAATCATGTATTCATAGTGATCCTCCAACTCTAGTTTACTATCAGTATATATACTCAAATATTTAATAGATTCAACATTTTCAACTATTTCGCCATTTATTTTAACTGTAATAGTATTTTCATTTAGGTATTTCCCTATTAGCATCAATAGAATTAATCTGAAAACTCGCCAACGCACGTACTCTTCTCGTAATAATAGCAATGCAATCCTCAACGATCTGTTCTTCAAGGAGACATTTGAAATTAAAAAAAACATTACTTGAAATAGAAATTTGAACACACACACATGCATAGAGCTATTTATGAAACATAAGGTTTCGTGAAACATTTTTAAAATTGTGCCTCGCAACAATAATCGAAGTGACTTCTTTATGGGCGTAGATAAGGATAAAAGCTAATGCTAACTGGAAGCTAAAATATATTTCAGAGTACCTAATCGTTATCAACAGAGAAGAATGAAGCAAATTCCAAATTGGTATTATATGTTAACGTTTCCTAGACCCCTTTGAAAAGTATTTCAATTGTTTCCTAATTCGTTGACTGATTGTTGTACATTTTTACTTCAATAGTATACAATATTTCCGCAAATCGTGTCGTGTGTGCAGATTTTTCGTATTTTTCGGCTTAACTTTCACCCTTTCTTGAAGGACCAATATGTGACCGAAGGTGAATTTTTTGGCCTAATTTAGCCGGAGCCCAAGCCGAAGCAGATGCCGGAGCTACAATCGGACCCTACTGCCACGGAATGCCGACGGATGTTTGCGGAATCGAAAATGATTTTCCATCAGTGTGTAAGCGGCCCGTAGGAAAATCCACTTCGACGCTTGCCCCTACCACCCATCGATGTACGCACCCCTAGAGCATTAACACTTTCTTCCCGTGGAGTACGCGAGTTAATATTCCAAGGTAGAACCACCACTGACTAGAATTTAAATATACTTTTGTGGGATCTGCCTTCGAACAGCTGCATTTACGAATTATGAATGGCACGTGCTGACGCAAATCTTACTCATGCCTTTGTTGACTTTGGAACTTGCAAATGCACTTTTTTTATTCAACTACAATTGCGATCTATGAATAAATGATGATACATAGTATTATGGATTACTCACTTTGAAGTATTCAGGCATTAGTTTTCCTTCCGGAAGCGATCGTTTTTCTCCGGGCAGTAATGACGAACCTTGCATACCTGAAATATACAATGTTTCAAATTATTTAAATAATTATAATAATATAAATAAAAAATAATAATTACAAAAATATTCCACGAAAATAACAGATGTTGACAAGTTTGATTATCCGGTTAATGTTCTAGGCATGCCATGTTTTTGGAAAGGTGTTTCAGAACGAACGTAGAGAAGGTCGAACTTGTGATCAGTATAAAAACAAAAGGACGGGGACATTGGGCTTGTTGAAAAACGACAGATACCTTCGTTAAAAGTTAAAAATTATATCAATACACCTGTACAAGTTAAAAATATTACACGTGAGGAGACATTTTGTTGAAACAATCGGAATGGAGTCCCTAATCTTCTACTACCGCTACACGTGGAGAGGGGGAAGTAATTTTTTTAACTTGTTCGGGTGTATTGATATAATTTTTTAACTTTTAACGAAGGTATCTGTCGTTTTTCAACAAGCCCAATGTCCCCGTCCTTTTGTTTTTTATACTGATCACAAGTTCGATCTTCTCTACGTTTTTTGTACACATATCTCTTAGTGTTTTTTGAGTAATTGATCAAAATTTCAGTAACCGTTGAAAAAATGTGAAAATGAATAGTTTACTGGGGGTCTCCACGATGTCTTATGTACTCAGAAACACGTCTGGGCAGACTCGAAATCAGATGGTTACTTTCGCTCGCTATCAAAATCGCCAAGCTGTTGAAAATTTTCTTGGATTCTCATTCTAGGCATAATATACAGATTGCAGTAGTCCTTATAACCTTTTGTGCGATGATCAAATGCCAATTGTAGCTCAAAACACAACTATCGCAAAATTACTTTTTTTTTGTAAGAACAGACGATTTTATGTCCTAACCTAAACAAAAATATGCCTAAAAATTCGTTTTACTGGGTGCTCTTTTTTCTATGTCACCTAGCATACCTAAATGTGCTTCTTAAGCTGTATTGTTATTCGAACAACAAATGTGTTACCTAATTTGATTGCGTACTTTCCAGTAAACAGAGACGCTCTTGATGGACTACTTGTAGGTTGAACGTAATGACTGTTAAGGATAATTCCATTGTAAGCTAGTGCGTCGATATTGGGAGTTGGTACTTGGTTGCTTCCATGGAAACCTACATCGTTCCATCCCTGAAAAACAGACACCAAATCTTGTAACAGTACAATCAGAAGGTCTATAGAGGAAGGCTGGAGCTTGGTAACTAGTTTATTTCCAGCAAAATAAAATATGGGTGCGAAAGACCAGTTAGTCTTGGAATATATGGAAAGACGCAGCTAACTTTTCAATTTACACTAGAGCAGGGAGCTGATTCTATATGAATATCAATCATTGAAATTAATTTCGATGTCGACTTGCCGTCATAAATAACCCCCATGATTATTTTGCCCCCTGATTCTAATTGATTTGTATATCTAAATTATCATGACAGTGTAGAGATGATCACAGGCGGATCATGACGTCAGTGCGACGTCGAAATTAATTTTAAGGGACAACATTTAGTTGGAATCTTTGAAGTGGAAGTTGCGGTTGTTAGTACAGGGTACCGCAAAGTGCAATATATGGTTCATATTCCTCATAACTTTTTTATTCGAATAGTAATCAAAATGAAACAATTTTCTAAATATACTTTAGACATGTTAGGTTAATTTAAATTGATCCTGCGCCGAATAACGTAGTCCACAAACATCTCCTTAACTGCTAATTACTCCCTTGAAGTCAGTGCTGTAGCTTAATCTCGTTGATATTACAGGTTTGGATAGTTACCCATGGCTCTAAATGCATCATATTCCACTACTGTGGTCTTTTTGATGAGCAACCATTACGTTTTGACATTTATTGGGGTGAGCAGCTCACCAGTAGGTGGCATCTTTGTATTAAAGCCTGTAGCGTTTGTAAGAATGAATCGGGTGTGAATCGTCTGAAATTCAGGAGCGTATCTAGAACTGTTTATACTAAAGATATACAGAAACCGTTTATCTTGTTTTGTTCCTACGTAAATGAATCCATAACATACAAAGGACCACAGCAAAATTCGACTCTGTCTAATGATCTAGCGTCGACAGGTGCATCAGACTTGTGTTTAATTTGCAGGCATGGGTTACTAGATAATCAGCTGTTATTTGATCTCACGTTTGACATAATCGATACTTGTCAAATACACTCCATGAAGGTTCAATAGCGCCTCTTGTGAAACAACAGATCTCAGCCATTAAACGTAAATTTCGACGATTTTCAATTGTAGAAAGGAAATAAGATGAGAGTGGTGATTATGAGATCTTTAGGAGATTTGGTTTACTTAAACTGAACCTACAAAACACATTTTTTATGGGCAGCAAGTCTTTTGGAGGGGATGTAAGCGTACTCCCTGTCTGAATGAAATTCTTATGTTCTTCATAAAGAATCATTGCAATGAAACTAGTTTTTCACCTTTCCTAAATATGAATATCGACTGCTTGGAAATGTAACCTGGTTTTTCTAGACATACGAGTATGTGATTAGTTGAAAGAGTTAAAGCTTAGCACTAATCACAAAATTCAAAAGTTAGTATTTGGACTGCGTATCACGTAAGCAATAAGCGTGAAACTTTTACAGGATACTCGTATTATTGGATCTGTCTTTGTTCGAAATCAGTTTGACGAAAACGCATTATGTCTTCAGATTTCTCGCAATGTTATGATCCACCCACTACGCTGCAAACTCTATTTATTATGAGCATTATGTGACGTTAGTAATAATGTATATCAGCTATATAGTTGCAGTTACCGTTCTTGGCGGTTACGTCATCAACGCCATATGAAATAAGTAAACAGATCCAGTCCATTGACCGTATTTCCGGGCATTATACAATTTTATATTGAATATTTATAACAGGACAACCTAAATTGCACGCCGATGACAAGTAAGTTGTCACTACGACAAATATGACTGAAGGGCACTCATACGTAACGACAAAGTTTTCGACACGGAGGTACACAACTAAAAAATCGTTTGCCTTTGAGCTTACCGAACAAACGTTCACACACAGGGGTAGGTTGCATGTGTATGTATGAGGGAGATGGAGATACATAAAGAGATACTGGTAGTCTTACTTTGACCCTCCAAGAACGGTGACTACAACTATACTACATAAAGGGTTTTTGAATTGAATTTCAGTAGTTTCGCAAGATCCATCACAACAGGCAATATGACATTTAATACACACCAAACCTTTGATGGTCATGTCACATCGGCCGATTTCTGACGGAAACATGTGAATCTGTATGACGTACAATGACATGAATACGTCTTTGTAGATTTTTGTCCAATACATTTTGAACAGAATCCAATCCATTCGACCACTAGTCTTTTAATGCCTTGTCCCTCTGCAGGACTATCAGATTTTGTAGCCCAAATAACAAAGTCAGGAAAAAAATCATAGTATCAGCAGATAGGAGGAAGTGCGTCAGTTCAAGGAGTGCCCTGACATTGTTACCTACGATTCTGGAATCCATTATCTAGAAAATAAATTTTAAGATTTCACATAGAAAAATCTGTATTCAGTTGGATCTAAAATTGCACTTTTTTATTTTGTTCATAGCGCGAACTGCAAGTTTGTGAGTTTGCTTAACTGTGTAGTGTACTGGTACACGCAAGAGACGATTGATGTGCAATTCCGATGTACTATTTTCCATATGTTCATATTGTCGATCCTGAAGCTTAACCGACTACCACGAATGAAAGCGATTTCTATAGAAAATTGTCTAAGGGACAATAATTTGAACAATTTTTCCTCAACGCCCGTTAGTTTAAAATTTCAGTCATAAGCTAATGCTATGTCCTTATTCCTTGAACTACAGACAAAAATTGCTTACAAGATCATCTGCAATAACAAAAACGATATTTGGTGCATCCGCTGCAAAACATCCAGGACCACTTGCCGCATGAATCACCACCAAAAATAAGAAAGGAGCATCCCAAGAAGTGCCTCGACGACCTCGCGGGTCTATCATTGCGAAAAGAATCGCGGCGGATCAACTGAACTGACGTCTTGGTTTCCGACTTGTTTTATACAGATTTTTTTATCTGTTTTTCATATCTGAGGTGCGATCATTGTTGGCCACGGACGGTGGGACGTTTAGCATAGTTAATTGGGTATGAAAATGTAAGACTGAGCTTACACAAACGTGCATGTCTACAGCTAGCACATATTATGAACAGAGGAGAGAGTACAGCATTACGTTACAACTCGCTTCAAAATTAACGCCGTATGCTGCTTTGTCAAAAGGTCTTCAAAGTTTAAAAACTATGAATTACCAAGCCGTCTACTGCTGCATGTCACTGTTTTATGTCAAGCAAAGTAGCTTGATATTTCTGTAAGCTACTTGCCTAGACTTGAAAATAAAATCGCTTAAAACCTTAATGCTTGACTCGACTTTTTTTCATTGTTCAAGCATTTTCAAACCTCTTGATACTTGGATGGAAAATTATATTTTTGTTCTACTGAAGACATCCAGTAATATTTATTTGCACAACCGATGAGCCGTGCTTTGTATTTTAATGCAAACAATCACGAGTGGTGGAAAAGGCGTTAAAATGTATTCCCAAACCTAGTTTTAATAGCAAGAGATATTTTATCGATACTTTCAATATCAGAGCCCATTGAAAGGAAATTTTCTAGGGCTGCAGTAATCATTACGGAATTTTTCAAAGCTAACGAAGAAAGGTTTTTTCCTATTTGAGTTTACAGTTTTATCGTTCTATTATATGTTATGCGATCAATGAATTCAGACTACGTAGAAGGGGCTAGTGAAAGATTTGTTTGTCTCTTTATTATCATAGTCTGTAGTGAGGATCAAAATGCACTTAACATAAATCAGTGACAGTTTTGTCATTGAAATCGTAGTTCAAAGTTTTTTTTTAAAAAGAGAGTTTTTGCAGATAATTATGGTGTCAGATTTCTAGACGTACTACTTTGTGCATAATTTGCAAAGAGCTGCACAAATCTAATGAAAGTAGATGTTTCCATTGATAAATATTATTATTATTATTATGTCACTTTGGTAGGCATTGGTAGACAAATGAGTCAAAAGTATGCACCAAAACTATGCAATTTTGGCGACAAGCAATGCAATATAAATATATAGGCTTGGCTCCTACTCTATTCAAATGCGTTGTACACGATGAATAAATTGTTTCATTCAATATGCATTGTTTCCTCCCTAGCTTTTGACAAATGATAATAATAATAATGTTCCTTCATTCAATGGATCATCAAGTATGGAATGCGGCATAGGAAAAAGAAATGAGAACTGGCAGAATGTACAAGCATAAAAAAGAACGACACTAGGATAAACATATACAAAAAGTGCATATTAGTTTTTAAAATAAACGAAAAACTCGTCAACACTGTTTAAGCAGCCTTCCAAAAAATGTGCTTTACCTTTTTCTTAAAGCTATTCAATGTCGTAACCTCACGCATGTCGGCTGGAATCAGGTTAAGAAGCATACGTCCAGCATAAGCTGGAGACGTTTTATAGTACATGTGATAAAATTGATTGTTAATGAAATTTTCTTTGTTACGAATATTGTAATCATGCATACTGGAATTTCTCTTAAACTTGTTTTTATTTAGGGAAAAATACGCTGATAGCTTGAAAATATAAATACATGCCTCAGTAAAAATATGATAACGTTTGAATATTTCTGCAAGATGACTGATAGTGAATTTTAAAAATTAAACAGGTGAGCCTTTTTTAGCAGAGTATCCTAACGCATAATAAATATTCATCAAGCCTTCTGTATCTATGGTATTTTTATTACGTATACTTATAGTCTACTAGTATTTAACCCTTAACAGGAAACGTGAATTTTTGGAACACAAAAGGAAACATGCCGTCTCTCAGACTGCGAACTTCAAGATGTTCAAAAAATTAGAGTAAGGCGAAAAGCAAGCAATAACTTCGCTGAAACTGATACTGGATGTTTATTTTATGTGTTTAATACGTAAAATGCTCATTTCAAAATGATACAAGAACATAAAAGAAACATTTTTATTAACTATGCTAAAACCATACAAAAATAACGCTGTTGTTGCAACATTCAGAAACTAAATTAAAACTATGGAAAAGTCTCAATATTTTTCTATTTTCTAGTTAAGTAATGAACAAGGAAAGTATATTATAGTCAATAAATACAAAAAGAACACAATCAAAATTCACTGCAAGTCTCAAACATTGCCTATATTTATGCAGCTAATACATTTGGGTTTGGAGCATTGAAGACATACACGCTTCCTACATTGTACACACAAAAATTTGGTCATCCGATGGGTCGTTCGGTGACATAAAAAGCAGGCTTTCCTTTTTTCCAAAACCAAATTTTCAGCTTCTGTTGCTGGATGTTCACATTTGCCAAGGATGCGATTTATCGTAAGTCGCAAATCCCGAGGTAAACGGGGACTCTCTAGTCGCTTTTCCATATGCTCACGGACCAGGTTAGCGGCCAACATCTTAGCAAATACCGATTTTTCCTTCTGCAATTCATTTTTCTTATAGCACTGGTGTAAAATATACGAGTTCACTACCGATATATCCAATAGTCGGTAGAAAATAACCAGTGGCCACCTACGCGAACGGCGACTTGAGGTACTCTTCGAACATTTTTCATCAAGAGAATCAACTCCACCTTTATTAGCATTGTAATAGGCTATTATTTCCGGTTTCTGTGTTTCCGGATCACAATATTTTCTGTGGTGCATAGAAGATATGGGTATTGTGGCTTTATTTTTTTTGCTTACATGAGACACAATAGTGGAATCTTCTCGAAATCCGTACATTGTTGATCCGACTTCTCTTGATTTGTTGGGTAAAAATGCAGGAGGAATTTCTCTTTTATTTTTCTTCATTGTACCCACATAGGACAGTTTGTTCTTCAATAGGACATCCATTAATTCTATTGACGTAAACCAGTTGTCCGCTGTAATGTTGCGATTAGTTCCAAACAGAGGCTTCGCGAGACGTAGAACTGATTGTGTGGGTTTGGAATACCGCTTGTGTTCCTCAGGAAGTTCGAAACTATCGGAATCTTTACCGCAGTATATATATGCGTTATAGAGGTAGCTATTCCTTGCATCCGTCAATGCCATAATTTTTATGCCATATTTGCAAGGTTTCGCAGGCATATACATTTTAAATCGACATCTTCCTCTGAAACTCACGAGCATTTCATCGACAGTGACAGACTGGCCAACTCCGTACACATCTTGACAGTTCTTTATAAAACTATTAAAAATGAAAGATATTGGTGCTACTGGATCTAGCTTCTTTCTTTCATTCCTGTCATCTGGGTTATCAAACCTTAAGGCTAACAGGAGAATACCAAATCGTTTTATGCTCATGACAGCTCTGAATATATCTCTTCCAGAGCCATCGGTGGCAAAAAGTGTTTCAATGTTCTCGTGGTTGCTGTTGAACACCGATGTATATACTAAGAGACCCAATAGTGCCTTTATTTCGACTAAATCAGTGTCGTTTAGGTTGCTGGTTTGATTTTTGTATCTCTTTCGCATTTCTTTGAGCTTGTGATTGGTCCACTTAACGATATGTACCAACATGTCGTCAGTGAACAAAAGCTGCCAAACCGTCAACGGAGCTGCTTCTTCTCCATATTCATGAGCTTTTCCTCTTAGAGTTGGTACTTTAATGACTATATTGTGCTTCCTTGTACGTGATGATGGTACAACTTCCGAAATATTCCACCTATGACGATTTTTTCCATAGAAATAATTCTGAGCTGGTAAATCCTCTTCATTTCCTTCGGCTCCGTCTTCTGATAACTCACTTTCACTTGTATGATCTGATTCCATGTATTCGTCTTCTGAGGCACTGTCTATATCACTAAAGTTACTTCCTTCATCCTCAAACCATTTTAGAACGGTTTCTTCGAACTCCGGATCATCGTATCGTACACGTTTAGAAGGTCCCGCCATACTCGCAAACGCACCTATGCAACACAAATAGCAAACGGGAACGGAAACGTGCCGTCTGACAGACTGCAACAAACTAAAATTGGTCCATATTTTAAGGCACGTTTTGGCTAGACTCGTGTGAATGGGGGTGGGCGATGGTCACTAATAGCTTATGGATTAGATGGGTTTTTACGTCTGTTAGAGGTGCAATAAAAAAAGATACGCTCAGGTATAGAAACGCCGCAGTCTCACAGACGGCACCTTTCCGGTTAAGGGTTAAATTACAAAAATTATCAAGCAATATCAAGACAACTTGTTCAAGCACGTGACGAAAAAACTGTGTGACTTGATTTAAATTGCTTATATCTAATACTTGACTTGAGCCTGACTTGATTTCAAGTTATGTTGTTCACTACAAAGGCTTGAACTTTTTCAGTGAAAAATAAAACATGAAAATCTACAATTTATTAATCCCTGCTACTCGAAAATAACTTCCATTCGCAATTCCCGTTAAGTTTGAAGCGGCATGGACCAGTACATTCCTGAGAACCTAACTAAAATAGCCCTTTTTGTTAAAGCTTATAGTCACGTTTCAAAGTACCATACCTGTTTGCGCCCTTCAGTGCCCTGATCTCCATACGAGAGCCCTTTCGGTGTATTTTTTGTAACAAGTTCATACATTACTACTTTTTCACTACATGAATCCGAGAGATTAAAAACAGAGTTTGAACGTATTTACAGACCGTTTACATTTTTACTACAGGAGAAACCAGCGTTAATAGGATAGGATTGCAAGTATCTGGTGTAGAGCCCGCTTAAGGAAGTTCGTACCTGTTAACGGACGCGCTCTTTAAAGATCGCGGAAAGTGTAATTTGATTGCTTGCATGATTTACCATCTTTTTTCTCATTCTCATTAATTAGGCTTAAATCCTCCCATTCATTCAAATGAGATTTTTTTATAAATCTGCGTATGTCTGCATGAGTCAGTGATACCAGGTTATGTTTATAGCTGGCTTAGTTGGGGAATTCCATTAAGCAGAATTAGATCGGAAATCAGGCAATCATTAGCT